CAAAGTCAAAAAGTAGTGCAAAAAATGTACAGAAAAAACTGTGAACTGTGAATATAAATAAAAGCCACAAACTATGCCTATTCGTGGCATTTACTTGCCTCATATGCCAGACTATTGCCAATTGTTCTTTTTGCTATTTTTGTGCTGCTGCGGTTTGTTGCAGAGATTTATAGAAATGTTCCGGCAAAGCTGCACCCTAATTTTAGCAAAAAAAATAAAAAATATATGAACTTTTGAAAGATGGTCTGAGATTTTCTTTCAACTAATAGGTTAGATATAAAAGTGTGCAGTTTTTAATAAAAAATTTTTCCTGTTTTTTTTAGTTTAATTTTTTATATTATTTGTGCGTGTTGTTTTTACTATTTTTGCGATTTTTTATGAAGATTAGAAAGATATCCGGTATTAGAATTAATTTCGTATATATGAAATAATTATTTAGTAATATTATTTAAAAAGTATCTAAGTCAAGATAAAATGGTAATGAAAATAAGTGTAGTTGTACAGTTAAAAATAGGTCTGTTCGAAGAGATGAAGTGTCGACTCTGCTTAGAAGCAGACGAGACTACCAGTCACATTCTCTGTGACTGCCCAGCCTTGGTCTGGCCAAGGAGGAGGTCACTGGGAGGAGAGCTGCTCTCTCCTTCTAACATTAGGAGGTCCTCAACGAACGACATTCTGGCTTTCATTCGAAAGGCGGAATGTTTTCTGTTCGGTTAGGGTCAGTTGCAGCACAAAAGATCAATCTGGTCGAAGTGCTCTGCTCCGTTGGAAGCTAGTACCCCGTATATTTCTATTCTAAGTAAAGTTAATTTGAAAGATTTTTTACTTACCTAGCAGATGATGCATATATTATAGATGTATCAGTACTTTTGCAATCTTATAAATCTTGATTCAATGAGGATTAATTTCTTTACTTGTTTTTGTTATTCTACAGTTTTTTCAAGAATACATAGTATGACTAAATGTGCTATTGTAAACTTGTTGGATATCAAACTCATCGGTATTAGCATCTTATGATACAATAATGGTAACACTTTGTTTAATCTTCAGGTTGCCATTGTTATTGTTACTTAAACAATTAATTTACAATGTTAAATCAATATCTACATCTAGTTTATCTAGTTTATTTAACGGGCCATTATTTGTGCTCAAGTGAGCTTTAATGTGTAAAGCCACAACTCAAATCTAACCTATAACTAGTTCAATTTTTATACATAAGTAAGCTGTACACAAAAATTAATATTTAATTAATAAAAGATATATAAACATTTTTGATTTTGTCAATGAGATGTTTTCTAAAATTTATACGTCGAATGAAACAAAAGTTATTCAGAAGTTTTCTATTATCTCAGGTTACATGTATATAAACTCTACTGTTATTAGTTTTGTCTATGGCTTTATTTCTTTATTTTGAGGTTATTATGGAGATCAGCGCTCTTGATATATCAAAATGTATATTAAATACCTCATAACATTTTATTTTAAAAGTGTTTAATGTGCTTTTTATACCCGCATTTTTATCTCTGACTCAACCCTATGATTCAATAAGTAATTTTTACTTATGGGGTTGATGAGCTTTTAACAACTGTTCCAAAATATTCGATTGATAAGTACGCACTCCAAATACTGCTCCATTACATAACTTTACCTTTCACTTGCAGCCCGATTATTCCAATATTTTACATTAATATCATATATTTAACATTCCAACATAAATTGGAATTGACAATAACTTCCCTTTTTCAACTTCAATGATCAATTCAATCCAATTAACTTTCTCTTAAAACATATTTCAATGCAGAGAATTGAAAAAAACGTATTCTACAAAAACTGGGGCTGAACATAAAGTGAGGGAAAATTAAAAGTAATTGCATAAACGATATTATGACACTTACGCAGCAGGACAAACTTATCCATGCCCTCAATATTGGAATAAAAATAAATAAAGTTTTTACCAGCGCTAAGAGGAGCGGCGGCACAGCACAGAATGACCGAAGTCACATACGCAGACAACTTGGCTGCGATCCAATCAAAGAGTTCAAAATAAAGAAAGGCATAAACTCTGCAATCCGGCGGAGCAAGAATCGCAAACGATGGTCCCGGCGTTGCGCATCTTCCTTTTACAATTTTTTGCATTAATTAAGTAAGGAAAAGTGCAAAAAGTGGCACAAAATCACAGAAAACAGATTACAGCATGCGGCCATGAAATTGATAAGCACACTTAATGTAATTAATAGTACATTTCTGTGCAATACAGAGTATATACTCCTTTATACATAAAATACGAGTAAATCTAACTAATTGAATAAAGAAGAGAAAGATTAATTTCGCAGATAGCAAAAAATGAACCAAAAAAGATTGCATTGTGTAAATGGTACGTTTGGTTAGTGGCCTCATATGGTTGCTCCATTTTTGGTAGGCGTGAATTATAAATGAAAAATAAAATTTTTTTATTAATTAATACTTTTACAATGTTGAAAAATATATGAGTTTTATGTGCTGATAAGTAACTACTAATTGAAGTGCGAATTAAATGTAGCAATTTCAATTAACAGATCAGCAGACCGCACGAATCCAAAAAAAGAGTTGAGTTTTTTTCAGCAAACTTTGAAGTGGGTCACTTTAGTTTTTGTGTAAAACTATAAATATTTTTTTAATTTAATATTTATTTTAAAAGAAAATGAAGTATTTGTAGCATCATGACTAACAATGTTTTTTTTTATTTTATTTTCATTTTGTCGACTGGTTAACATCCGTTTTCCTCAACGGATTCGCCGGATTCAGCGGATTTCATTTGTCTTTTTGCTGCTGATGGATTTCCTTTTTTTAATTTATTTATGACAAATGAACTTCACTGCAATTTAATTGGAATTATCCGCTTATAGGTACAAAACAGAAGAAAAAAAATAAATTTTTTTTACACAATCATTTAAATTTACAAATATGCTGTTATGTGCGAATATCTTTGATTGGCAAAAAGTAACTTCATGACATACGTTCGAGTATGTGCAACTTTAGAGTCTATTGAACTTCTGCTGTCATTGCATTTCGAAAATTGAATGAACTGAAAGTACATCAAATAACTATTAAATTGGAAAAATTACTTTTCTTTATAAAAACCTCGCATAAAAATCAGACGAGTATTCTTTGTTTGTTCTCTACATATTAGCACAACGCAAGCAAACAATATTACCACATGAAATTGTCTTTGGCTGGAGCTGTATTTTGTTTTTATCTTTAGCTGTTTTAATATTTTTATATCTATTACTTCCAACAACTTCACATAAGTACTCATCGTATCACAGTGTGTATTTATACAAAACGCACACATAACCCAACAATACTTGAGAAAGTCATTATTTTAACTCTATTTGCAATACGACAGCCACTGTTTGCAACTTGTGGCATCTTATTCTGTACAGTATAAACTCTTCCATGCTGTTCCACTGCTGCGACTGCTGCGACTGCTGCTCATAAACCCAGCTACAAATAGTTCGAAATCTATGTGCCGATTTAGAGTTTGCCATATATGAGCACCGCAGACAATTCATCGCAGACAATCGCAACTATGCTTTAGTGTCATTTGTGGCAAAAATATGGTCGCATGCCACGGTTAGCTTTTGCTATTTTAACTTATGCAATTTGCTTTACACACACATGTGTCCATTTTTATCTAGATATACGTATATGTACCATTCTGTATATATGCTTACTTTTCTATAGTTTTTTTTTGTTTTTATTTTATTACATTTATCAGTCTTGCAAATTATGGTTGCACATTTATGCTTTATGCGCACAAAAGCCATAACAAACCAAGCCAAACTTCACCAAACTGAAGCGAACTGATCCAAAGCAATGCATCTGAATGCTATAGTACGGGTATAAATGAAATGCAATCCTCTAATCTGAAACCAGTCGCAGCAAATGAATTGTCAACGTTCGCCGTTCGTTACATCCATCAGATATGCCAAATACTTTAGTGACAACAAATGCAATATTCATGCTGTTGACATAACGAGCTGCTGCATGATATTTTAAGTTTTTTGTGGCAAGTATTTTAGCTTTTTTTTGGTTTTCATTTAGTACTTTGGCGCATAAATATAATGATGAATATTAACTGATTGCATTGAAAGTTTTATAAGTAGTGGAACTTGTAAGTTTTTAAGTAAATCTCTCTTATATAAATTAACAAGAGCTTTAAGCAATGTTAATTATGACATTACTTGAAGTTTGAAAAATTAATTATAATTAGCAGAACTTGAGTTTTGGGTTGGGTTCCTGGCCACAGGAATTACTCGGGGAATTGTAGTACAGACGACCTCGCCAAGGTAGGCGCTCTTCTCCCTAATATTCACTTCTCAGATATAGGCGTTCCACTTGCTACAGTTAAACTGGCAATTAAACAAAAATACCTGACTATAGGCAAGCAATACTAGGCTGACGAACCTCAATGTCAGATTTCTAGGATGACTTGGTCTAATTAAGCTTTTTGAGCTTTTTGGGATAAAAGGCCGCTACTCGAACCTACCTACCTAACAGAACTTATGTTTTGAATTATCAAAAGAAAGATCATTATTCACTAAAATCATTATATGTACATATATATGTATATATTTAATTATATTATAAGTATAGACATTATATGTAACATTATATATATTAGTAAAGACATTGCCTGTTTAAAGCCAAGCAATAGTTTTCTGGTGCAGTGTAGGGTAGATAATTGTATACAGTTTAACCTTGTACATAACTAACAGAACCATAGAATGCCTATTCTAACTGATATTGTCAGGCAGCAATAAAGCCACTAAATTCTTATTAGGTGACATCAAGATAGGTGATGTATAGCTAAGTATATCTTTGCCGAAATAATAAGATACGGATCCTATAACTA